CCGGGACTGGTCCCCTCTCCCGGTGTCCGCAGCTCCCGGGAAGACCCTTGGCTGGGCCGCCCCGGCCCCAGTTCCGTTTCAGCGCCTGTGGGGTCGGCGAGAGCAGAGGGGCTCCGCGCGGACCGCAGAGGCAGCGCCGGCCCAGGGGGCTCGTAGCCGGCTGTGGGGTCGCGGGGGCGGCGCGTCTTGGTGTCGGCTGCGCGGCGTCGGACTTTCGTCCCTTCGGACTGAGTTTTGCAGGAGCTCAGTCCAATCCCACGGCCGCTTGCAGATCTTAATCCGGGAAAGCGCCCACCCAAAAGCCTGCCTCGCCCGGCCAGGCGCGGAGCCTGGACACCTCTGAGGGCCATCGCAGCTGGACGGGGGGTGGGTGCCGGGCAGGCCGCGCCCAGGCACCGATGCCCCCCACCGTGGTGACGCAGGGGACCCCTGTCCGTCCGTAGAGCCAGCCCAGAAGCTTCTTGACCCAGAGGCCCCCTGGGAGGCGGTGGCCGCCGGGGCCGGGGCCGCTCAGGTCTGTGGCCCCGCGTGCCTGCTGGCAGGTGACCCGTGACTGAGGGGGCTGGCGGGAGCTGCCGCCTGGACCACACTGCGTGTCCAGCCGCTGCCCGTGGACGCCTGGGAGGCCTTGGCCTCGTGGCAGCTGTGGATTCTGGGTGCAAACCCAGAGACACGGCTGGTGTGGTGGCGCGGCGGGTTAAGCCAACACCTGCCACCTGCCTGTTCCTCTTCCAACCCCGCCCCCTGCTCCTGCGCCTGGGCCACCCCTGGGGATGGGGTGGGGGGCCTGGCCCCTGTGGCCACCTGGGGCCGAGCCAGCGGCAGGAACACGCACACGGCTTCCCAGTCTGAGGGCTCTGTCCTGCCAGTCTGAGGGCTCTGTCCTGCAGAACGGCGGCCAGCCGCCCTCCCAGCCCCCGACACTGCTCGGACCTGCGGGCCTGGGCCCCGGGGCCCCTCGGGAATCTGACACTGCCCACGGCCTCTCCCCCTGGCCACTGCTCAGAGACGTGAGGGCCAGGGCCCGCGGCGCCGCTCCCCGGGGCTCTGAGAGGTCGGGTGGTCCCTGGGGTGTGGAGCAGCTCCCTGCCAGGGACAACCACAGCGCCCCCAGACGTGGCAGGAGGGACAAACGGGCGGGCGGCCAGTCCACCGTCAGGGGAACTCCAGGGACAGCCGGACTCCTGTAGGGGGGCTCTGGGGCAGGACCTGGACTGCCACCCCCCACCGGGATTCTGGGGGGCTTGGGGGCCCACTGGGTTCCTCGGGAGCTGCAGGCGCGAGGGGTCCCAGATGCTGCCCCCTGGAGGAGGGGCTGCACACCGACGTCCACCTGAGTCGTGGGGAGCCGACTCCCTCGGTGCCCGCGGACCGCCACTGCCCACTGCCACAAATCGCCGGCACCGACAGGACCCTGGGCCGGCACCGACAGGACCCTGGGCTGCCGAGGCGGCCGGGAGCCAGCACGAAGGACGCGGGCGGCAGGCTCAGGGAGTTTAATGCTGGCCGCGTCACAACCTCAAGGACCCCCGCGCACCCCGCGTCTCCCCCGCGTCTTCCTGCAGCGTCCCCGGGGCCGAGGGTCTTCCTGGACACGGCGGGCGCCGGCACACACCTAGAGAGACAGAGGAAGCGGGCTGAGCTGAAGGCCCCGGCCACGGAGCTGCCCGTGCGGTGCCAGCGTGAGCTGGGGGGAGGCTGCCTTGGTGAGGCCGGCATCCCACACGGGCGCCGGTTCGAGTCCCGGCTGCTCCACTTCCCATCCAGCCCCTGCGCCCGCGTTGGAGAGCAGCGTGGCGTTCCAGGCTCCTGGCTTTGGCCTGGCCCAGCCCCGGCGGTTAGCAGGACTGTGGGAGGGAATCAGCGGGTGGCCAGTCTCTGTGCCACGCACCCACCATTTAGGGGCGCATCAGGGGTGGGAGGAGCCCGTGGCTGTGCCACGCCCCCACCACGCAGGGGCACACCAGGGGTGGGAGGAGCCCGTGGCTGTGCCACGCCCCCACCGCGCAGGGGCGCACCAGGGGTGGGAGGAGCCCGTGTCTGTGCCACGCCCCCACCACGCAGGAGAGCACCAGGGGTGGGAGGAGCCCATGGCTGTACCACGCCCCCACCACGCAGGGGCGCACCAGGGGTGGGAGGAGCCCATGGCTGTACCACGCCCCCACCACGCAGGGGCGCACCAGGGGTGGGAGGAGCCCGTGGCTGTGCCACGCCCCCACCACGCAGGAGAGCACCAGGGATGGGAGGAGCCCGTGTCTGTGCCACGCCCCCACCGCGCAGGGGCGCACCAGGGGTGGGAGGAGCCCGTGTCTGTGCCACGCCCCCACCACGCAGGAGAGCACCAGGGGTGGGCGGAGCCCATGGCTGTACCACGCCCCCACCACGCTGGAGAGCACCAGGGACGGACCCGCACCCTGCGCATGGACACTGTGGGGCCCACGCCGCAGGCGCCTGGCAGCCCCTCGGTGGAGCCGGACGCGACCGGGTGGAGGCCCGGGGAGCTCCCCCGTCAGCGGGCACTCACGTGAGCCAGCCACGGCCACTGGGCCCAGCGCCAGGACTTACCGCTGGGGGTCTGTGGAGGGCGGGCTTCATTCATTGTCTTTGAACTTGCCGTTGATGTAGGGCACCCAGTCCAGAATCAGCCGCCAGTCAGTGGCCCAGACCAGCCCCACGGCGCCCACGGCGCCCCACCTGCTGGCCGTGGGGACCCTGCGAGGACAGCGCGGTCAGGCCCGGCTCCCAGAGGCCTCCGGGGTCCCCCAGACGGCGGCTGGACTCCCGGCTTCCCTGGGGGGGGGCTGTGCACAGCGGGGACGACCGAGGTCCCGCTTCCAACGGGGGAGCCCTGCGGGGGGACCCCTGGGCCAGTGTGGAGATGGCCCGAGGGGGGGCGAGGGCCGTCTCCCCGGCTCCCACGGGCCCCGAGACTGCCGCTCGCGGGGTCCCTGGCCTCCCACCGTCCCTTTTCCCACGGAGGCTGGAATTCGCACCCGAGCCCCAGCACACCGGCCCACGCTGGGACGTGCAGGGGGCACTGCGGCGGGGCGGGGGGCCGCAGGTGCCTCCCTGTCGGGGTGACGCGGGGCGCCGGGCTCCGCTCCACCCGCGGGTGGATCCGCCGCTCAAGCGGGCACTGGCCAGCGCCTCGGGAACCCGGCGCCGGGGCTGGGCCCAGAGACGGCCAGAGGAGCCCGGTCTTGGTGGACGCCGTCACGCCGCTCGGGCCCCGCGGGGAGCGCCGGCGAGCGGGCGGGGTCCAGCCGGAAGCGCCCCGGGCAGCCGCGAGCCCAGCTCCCGCGGGCATCCCGCGGATGCAGCGGTCACCGCCCGGCGGCACAGAGCACGCGAGCGCCGGGCCCCCCCCCCAGCTGGTCTACACTGCACGCGGCCGCCCTCGGCCCCGGCGAGGTCCCAGCCTGCTCGGAGCCAGGGGGCCGGAGGTGGCCTCAGACCCCCGCGCCCGGCGGAGCCCACGTCCGCTCGTGTCGCCGGGGCGGTCCTCACCAGTTCTTGACCAGCTCCCGGTAGCGCGGGCCCAGGAACTTGGTCAGCATCACGGCTCGCTCCGCACCCTCAGGGTCACCCCGTCTGGCCGGCTCGGCCGCACTGCGCACGCGCAGCGCGCAGGCCCCGCCGTCCGCAGGTGTGCGCGCGCAGACCCGGAAACGCTTGCCGTCACTTCCGGGGAGGGCACGGAGAGTAACGGGCGCGGCGAGCGTCACGTGACCGCGCCGTGCGGGCGTCGGGCGTGGCTACGTGGAGGCCAGGGAGGCTCCGGCCGTGTGCTGGGGCGGACAGGCCGGTCCGCCGGCCCCTCAGGCGGCTGCTGGGGCAGCGCGGGCGCCCCGGACAGCTCTGCCCACCCGAGGGCGGAGGCGCGAGCCAGCGGCAGCCCCACGCCCACCCCGTGTCCCTGGGGGCCGTGCACGTGGCTTTCGCGGGTCTGCGTGTGGAGGCGGCCCCAAGGGCCCGCAATGGAGCGAGACGATGCCGCGGGCGGCGGGCAGCCCGACTCGTGGACTTGGGCGGCAGGGTGGGCCGGGGCTGGAGGCGGGGGTCTCGGAGAAGCCGCCGCAAGCAGGGACCCCCGGACGCGGGGGGGGGCAGCTCCCAGGATGGGGGGACTCCTCCCCACCCCCGCCCCTGGGGGCAGCTCCCAGAATGGGGGGGGTCCTGCTCCCCACCCCCGCCTCCCGGCCCAAGGACTGGGGTGGGTACTGGGGCTCTAGACAGAAGCTCCCAGGCAGACCCGTGCGCAAGTCCCAGGTTAACGGCCGGTCCCCAGCCCTGCACGGCCAGGGCCAGCTCCTGCGGCCACAGGGCATTCCCGGGGGTCAGGGTGGACAGCCGGGCTGGGGGCAGGCCCGGGGGTCTGAGGTTCAGATCCAGGGTTGTCCTGGGCCTGTGCTGTGCCCGGGTCCAGAGCAGGGACCCTCCGAGTCCTGGGGCCCCCGGGGGGGGGGGGCCGTGCAGGCCAGGGCCAGCTCCTGCGGCCACAGGGCATTCCCGGGGGTCGGGGTGGACAGCCGGGCTGGGGGCAGGCCCGGGGGTCTGAAGTTCGGACCCAGGGTTGCCCGGGTCCAGAGCAGGGACCCTCCGAGTCTGGGGCCCTGGGGTGGGGGGGCCGTGCAGGCCAGGGCTGTCAGTGCTGGGCGCGGGGGTGGGGGCGCTCCCCTGGGGGGAGGGGGCCCGGGGACCCTTGGTCCAGGCAAAATCCAATCGAGGGCAGTGGGCTGGTGGGCGGGGCGGAAGGCAGCGCGCCCGGGACCCTGCGGAGACCCCCAGGCGCGCGCTCCACGCGGGTCCGTTTGCACAACTTTTAATCGTCTGGTGGGTGAGGGAGCGCGAGGCCGGAGCTGGCAACAGCAAGAGACATGAGACTTTTATACAAAACCATTTGTTGCTTACAAAACATAGGCCAGAAAAGCGAAATAAAAAAAGAGACCAAAGGCGTCGTCCTTGCTAATTTCTTCTACGTTAAAAAAAAAAAAATCTCGTAACTAACATTCCTTTTATTTTCCTTAAAAAAAATACTATGCGTAGGCACGAGGTGCTGGGCTCCCGCGGGCGCGGCCGCGCGCTCCGCTCGGGTAAGGCATCGTCTTCTGGGGCAGCTGCGCGCGCGGCCCGGGCCCGGCCGCCGCACCCCAGCGCCCCGGGCTGCGCCGGTCCCTGCTGCGCGGGCGGCCCTCACAGGTGCCCGGCCGGGTTGTGGGCCTCGCTCAGGCCCGCGTGGGCGCCCGGATGCACCATCTGGGGGTCCCCGACCACGCCCGACACCTTCTCCTCCTCGCGCCGCTTCAGGCAGGCCGCTTTGGGGTTCAGGTTCCGCTCTGCGGGGCGGGGAGGGGAGAGCGCTGTGGGCCGGGTCCGGGCCGGGCGGAGCCGCCGCCGCCGCGCAGGCGCAGGGCGGGCGGGCGCGGGGCGGAGCCTACCTCGCACCTGCTGCTCCAGGCCCAGGATGACCTGCACGGCCTGCTGCAGGATCAGCAGTTTGGTCTGCGCTTTGTCCGACTTGAGGTGCAGCTGGCACATGCGGCCCAGCTCCCGGAAGGCCTCGTTAATATCCCGCACGCGCACCCGCTCCCGCGCGTTATTGGCCATGCGCCTCTCCCGGTCCCTCAGGTCCTTCTCCTCCAGGGACAGCACCTCCTCCGCACTGCTGGTCACAGCACCGCGCCCCCGTCAGCCAGGGCCGGCCAGCCGCGCCGGGCGCGGGACCCGGCCGCACCGCAGCGGGGAGGGTGCGCGCCCGGCCCCGTCCCTGACTGTCCCCGGACGGAGGCGGGGCCAGGGGAGGGTCCTCCCCGGCCTGGGGCCCCCACCTCACTGTCCCGCCCCCACCCCCGAGGACGACCTCGGGGTCAGAGCAGCAGAGCCCTAGGCCTGGCCGAGCGGGTCGGGTCCCGGGGTCGGGCCCCACAAGGCGCCGCCCAGCCCCCTCCCTCGTGGGGAGGCCGCGAACGGTGCTGCCCGGGGGCGCTGGGCCCGGCGGGCGCCCGGCGGGCCGCCTGGCACCGTGTCGCCAGCGCCCAGGGACCCTCAGAGGCCTGCCTGCCTTCCCTGCGCTACTCCTCACCCACTGCCTGCCCACCCTGCCCTCGGGGCCTGAGCCCAGGACAAGCGCGCAGACCAAACTGGCCCTCGGGTCCCCCAGACAGGGACGGGGCGCGGCGGGAGGTCAGGCCCTGAGGCCGCAGCCCCGGCCTGGCCATTCCTGGTGCTTGGGCAGCAAGTGCGAGGTGGGGCGGGGCCGCCGGTGGGGAGCAGAGACGGACAGGCGGGGGCAGGGGGCGTGGAAGCAGAGCGCGGAGGCGGCAGGACACACAGCCCCCCTCCCCCGCCGAGAGGGCCGCGGAGCCGAGGGGGCAGCAGGGGCGGGGCGGGGCGGGGTGGGGGTGCTGGCTCCCGTCCAAGCAACAGAGCTGCAGGAGAGAAAGGGTTAGCGCGGCCACGCAGGACAGCAGGGAGTTAAGGAAGCCAGCGCAGTGCCCTCTGGGGTGGGGGTCTTGGCCGGCACCCCTCCCCCAGCCCAGACCGCCCACTCCAGGGGCACGGGGCGGCGAGCGGGGCGGGGCGGGGCGGGCGAGCGAGCGGAGCCGGGCCGGCGCCCCACTGACCTCGCACCTGCTGCTCCAGGTTCAGGATGACCGCCACGGCCTGGTGCAGGATCAGCAGTTTGGTCTGGGGCTTCTCGCTGCTCAGGTGCAGCTGGCACATGCGCCCCAGCTCCTTAAAGGCCTCATTGATGTCGCGCACGCGCAGGCGCTCCCGCGCGTTATTGGCCACGCGGCGCTCCCGCTCCCGCTCGGCCTTCTGCTCTGGGGGGAGGAGGTCGTCCTCGTCCTCGTCTGGGCTACGGGGAGGGGCCGGGGGCCGGAGGCAGAGCGTGAGGGCGCGTGCGCGGCCCGGGGGGGGGCGGGGCGCGGGGCGGGCGGGCACCTGGGGCGGGGCCGCGGGGCCTTGTCCTTGCGGTCGTCCTCGGCGTCGCCGGCCGCGGCCGCGTTCTCCTCGTCCTCCTTCTCCTCCCGCTTGATCTCGCCGGCGCCCGCCGCGCCCACGCGCCCGAGTCCTGCAACGCGGGGCGGCCGGGGTCGGGGTCAGGGTCAGGGTCAGGGTCAGGGGCCGGCCCCGCGCCCTGCGGCTGCCCTGGGGTGCCCGCGTCTGCAGGTGCAAGGCCGAACCCGAGCCCCCGAGGGGTCCCGCCTCCGGTCCCGGGCAGGCGCCCACTGCTGCCCTTGGCGGTGGGGGGGACCATGGAGGTCACGTTAGCGGCACAGGCTGTCCCCGACCGTCCCGTCCCCTGCCGGGCCCAGCCAGCGCCACGCGGCTGAGGACAGCCACAGACCCCCACGGCAGCCGCGGCCGGGGACCAAGGGGACAGGGAACGCGTCACGGCGACACAAAGGCGAGTGGGCCGCGCGGAGCTCCGGTGCGCGCACTGGAAGCCGGTGGCCGGGCGCGCAGACCCGCAGACCGGGGCGCAGAAAGCTCAGGGCCCGGGAGGCAGAAGCGAAACCCACGGCGCGGGGACCACGGGCGGCAGAGCACTGGGCAGCCTGCCCAGGGTCAGCAGGGGAGGAGCCGGCCCTGCGGCACCCATGCGGGCGCCGGTTCGAGTCCCGGCTGCTTCACTTCCGAGCCAGCTCCCGGCTGTGGCCTGGGAGAGCAGCGGAGGACGGCCAAGTGCTGGGGCCCCGCACCCGCGTGGGAGACCCGGGTGGAGCTCCTGGCTCCGGGCTCCGGACTGGCCCAGCCCCGGCCGTCGCGGCCATGCGGGGAGTGACCCAGGGGATGGACGACCTCTCTCCCTCTCTGAGGAACTTTCAAATACGTAAGTGTTCTGTAAGAGAGACTGGGCTCTCACGCAGGCACGGCGGACACTCGGCTGTCCTGGCCACCGCCCACGCCAAGCCGGGAGCAGAGGGGCCCAGCCACCGCGCAGTGCCGCCTGCAGCCACCAGAGGGCGCCCGTGGACGTGGAATCTCGGCCCAGGGCCCCGCGGCCACGCGGCCACACAGCGGCCCTCGGGGTGCCGCCCTTCCCCACCGTCTGCTCCACAAACCCCTTCTGCCACCACCACAGCTGTCCTGCTGTCAGTCACTCGAGGGAGGGGCTTCCCGTTCCACTCCCCGGCACCTACAATGCCGGCACACGGCCGGGGCCATGTCCCGTACCCCTGGGACGCACACAGCAGGGGCCATGTCCCGTATCCCGGGGGATGCACACAGCCGGGGCCACGTCCCGTATCCCGGGGACGCACACAGCAGGGGCCACACCCATACCCCTGGGATATACACAGCCAGGGCCACACCCATACCCCGTGGACGCACACAGCCGGGGCCACATAGGTGCCCGTGGACGCACATAGCCAGGGGCCATGTCCCGTATCCCGGGGATGCACACAGCCGGGGCCACATAGGTGCCCATGGACACACACAGCTGGGGCCATGTCCCGTACCCCTGGGACACACACAGTCGAGGCCACATAAGTACCCGTAGACGCATACAGCCGGGACCACATATGTGCCCGTGGACGCACACAGCGGGGCCACATCCGTCCCCATGGACACACACAGCCGGGGCCACATCCGTCCCTGTGAACACACACCTCCGGGGCCACATAGGTGCCCGTGGACGCACACAGCCGGGGCCACATCCGTCCCCGTGGACACACACATCCGGGACCACATAGGTGCCCGTGGACGCACACACAGGGCCGCCAGCAGCGCTCAGGCCGACGCTGGCCCTCGCTGCCCTGCCCGCCCTCGGGGGCGCTGACGGAGCCCCACGTCTCCAGGCGTCCCCCGGCGAGGCCGATGGACTGGGGGTGGCCACGTGGCCGGTGTGGGGCCAAGCACGGCTGGGAGCGGCCAGACTCACCGCTGTAGGCGTCGGGGAGGGTGCCGGGCTGGCTGGGCAGGGCCGCGTGGTTGTGCACGAGGCTGTCCTCGGAGTGGCCGCCTCCGACCTGCGGACGGTGGGGAGGGGGCCACGTGAGCACTGCAGGGCCCAGCCCGGTGCCCTCCCCCGCCCCGCCCCGCCCCGCCCCCGCCCGGCGCTCACCAGGCCTGCGTGGCGCCCGCCCAGCGGCACGGGGCCCGGGAAGCCGGAGGCCAGCGCCCCGGGGCCGGGCAGCAGCCCGTGCGCGTCGCCGGCCGTGCCCACCGCGTGGCTGCGCAGCACGTGGATGGCCTCGTCCAGGTGGTCTTCCATCTTGCTCTGCTGTGGGAGGGGGCGGTGAGCGCCGGGCGTCGGCCCACGGCACCCCGGGCTGCCCTGGGGCGGGGCGGGGACAGGCGGCCGGGCGCTCACCAGGCCGTGCAGGCCCCCGTCGTAGCTGGGCGATAAGGCATCGGGGGCTCCCGCTCGGGGCCACTGCGACGTCCCTGCGGGGGGGAGAGGGCCTGAGTGGGCACCAGAGGCAGCGAGGCCCTGGGGAGGCGGGCACGGCCGAGCTGGCCACCCAACCCCAGGACGCCGCGCCAGGACGGGCTGGGGGAGCAGGAGCAGCCCCCCGGGGCAGGGCCAGCCAGGGGGCCCGGTGGGGACGAGGCAGGCCCCCCAGGGGCCTCCCAGCCTTTGGTTCCACAGGACCCAGCCTGGGAGCCGCCTCTACCAGGGAGCCCTCCTGGATAGCTCAGGACTCGGGTCCCGCCCCCCCCGCCCCCCACAGACCTGCCAGGCCCTGCGGGGAGCCCACGGGCGTGGAGGGGCTGGAGAAGTTACTGCTTCCGTGGTCTGGGGAGTAGATCTGTGGACAGGACGGGGAAGGGCCGGGAGGTCAGCGGCCGGCCTCCCGGGGCCCAGCCCAGCCCGGCAGCGCCGCGCCCCCCGCCTCACCGAGGCCAGTGCCTTCCCAAGGGCGTCCCCGGAGCTGCTGGCCGTGGTCCCTCGGGAGCCTGTGGGTGTAGAGGCAGAGGCCAACCTTGGGCGGCAGCCTGGACAGCGCCCGGCTCGGGCCGCCGGCACCACGGAGGGCAGCCCTGACGCCCGGGGCAAAACCACGTCCCGTCTCGGGGCCTCGGTCTGGCCGGCGGCCCGGGATGGGGGGCGCCACCTGGAGCCCAGCAAACCCCGCCCAGGGGGCCCCTGGCGGGGAGGCCATACCCAGGAGGCCGTCGGCCCCGCTGACGGGCGGCGTGTGGCTGGAGACACTGCCGTACGCGGCCGCGGGGGCCGCCGAGAAGGTGGGCACGGCCGGGAGCCCACCGTTGACCTCGGCTCCGTGCAGCTGGTAGCCCTGGAGGGACGGGAGGGGGACGGGGCTCAGACAGGCGCCAGCCACCAGGCCCGCAGCCGCCCACCCGCCCAGGCCCAGCCTACCATGCGCTCCTGCTGGTGCAGGCCACCGAAGGCGCTGCCGCCGCCCACGGAGCCGCCGCTGCCCGCCGGGAGGGGCAGGGGGGACGAGCCCCCGCCCAGCATGGGCCCAAAGCCGGCCTGGGCCGAGGGGCTCCAGAGCTCCGAGGAGGGGTGCAGGCTGCCGTCTGCGGAGAGGGGCGCGGTGAGGCGGGAGGCCGTGGGGGCCGCCCAGCCCCGCCCGGCCCACCCCCAGCCCAGGCACCTGCCACGTAGAAGGGGGCGGGGTAGGCGGAGGCGTCCCTGCCGTAGTCGTCACCTGAGCTGGCGGGGTACACCTGCGGGTGGGAGGCGTGGTCAGGTGAGGCAGGCCCCTCCCGCGGAAGACCACCCCTCGCTCTGGACACACGGCAGCCCTGGCCCGGCCTCTGCTCCCTGGGGCTCCCGTTCCCGCCAGCACCCCTGCCCTCGAGGCCTTCGGGGGTCACTGCCCCCCCCGTGTCCCTCCTCCCACCAGACCCCTGCTGACCCCGCCCTCCTGACCACGTGAGACCCTCGGTGGCGGGGGGGGGGGGACCCAGCGGCCACGCAGCATCCAGCAGGGACCGGGGCTGCAGCCCAGCGCTGGGTATGAGGGTGGGGGCCCAGGTCCCCCCCAGCCCACGGGCTCCCATCAACACGGCTACTCTGGCCCAGGCTGCGCCCCAACCCCGCCTCCAGCTCTGACTGACAGGGACCGGGGGCAGGGGCGGGGGTCCTGAGGGGTCAGCCCACCCGCTGGGCCTGGGGTGAGGCCATGGAGCCCAGGGCCGGGGCTTCCTGAGCCACGTCCTCCGGGCAGGCCTGGCCCCGAGGGGGCGGTCACGGAGGGGGCCGGGCCAGCCGCGGGGGCCCCATCCGTGCCACCACTCACCGAGGAAGGGAGACCAGGAGGAATCTTCCGGACCTTCTTCGGCTGTGGGTCTGTCAGGAGCCAGAGGTGAGCGCTGCCTGTCCGCCCGCCACCCCTCACCCTGGCGCCCACCCCCTTGCTGGCCCCCGAGAGGCCGCCCCGGGGCCTCGCTGGGAACCACAGGGCGGCCCCAGCACGGGGCACCCCGCTCCCCGCTCACGGCCTGGGAAGGACGTGGAGATGGGCGGCCCCGTCACAGTGCACCAGCACCCCCCACCCGCCGCGGGCGCAGGTTCCGGTCCCGGCGGCTCCACTTCCGACCCGGCTCCCTGCTGTGGCCTGGGGGAGCAGCAGAGGCCGGCCCAAGGGCTCGGGCCCTGCACCCGCGTGGGGGACCCAGAGGGAGCGCCCGGCTACCGACCCACCCAGCTCCGGCCGTCTGCAGTCCTTCGGGGACTGAGCCAGGGACAGGACAGTTCTCTTCCCCTCTCTCTGCCTTTCAAATCAATTACCCATCTCAGAAAAGGGAGGAAGAGGGGCCACGGGACCACCCGCTGGGCTCAGGACAAAGGCCAGGAGTGGAGGACAGCGGAGCAGTATGGGAAATGAGGCGCGGCACCCCCACCCCCGTCTGGGAGCCAGCTCTGGGGGCACCTGGCCTCAGCACCCCCCCCCCCAGGAGCCAGCTCTGGGACTGACCCAGCCCGAGCCCGCATGGCCTCCTGGACCCACGCACACCACGGACAAGCGTGCGCACTGCGCCGTGCTGGGCCACGTGTTTGCTCGTGTGCTGTGGGCCAGCAGCTCCCCCCAGGACCGTCCCCAGGGGGCCGGGGCAGCCCCAGCGCCTGGGCCCCCGCCTCCTGCGTGGGAGACCCGGACGCCGCGGAACCCCTAGTCCGCCTCTCAGACCAGCTGGTCCGGGGGCAGCGCGGGGGCAGCGGCCGGCGTCCTGCCCTCGTGGGTGCGTCCCAGGCACTCCGCATGGCACAGGCCTGACGTGTGCCCTGGGGGGCAGCGGGGACGGCGCACCTGGGTCCCCACCACCCACAGGGAGGCCGGGATGGAGCTCCTGGCTCCCGGCTTGCGGGGGGAGCCCCTCTCACTCTGCGGACGGCGACGGCCCCCACACTGAGCCCGCCCGGCCCGCCCGGCCCACTCACCCAGGCCGCCGTCTGCGGCTCTGCGCCGGGGGTTGCTGGGGTAGGAGGCGTAGTAGGGGGTGCTGCCCTTCACGTCCGAGGGCGACAGCGGCCCGGGGCTGCCGAGGCCCAGCTCGCCGGACAGGAAGCCAGCCTGCGGGAGGGACGGCCAGGAGACCTCGGGGTGGGGGCGGGGCCCCTCCTGCCCGCTCTCCGCACCTGCACCCCCGCCCGCTGAGAGGAGATGGGGCGAAGACCAGGGACCGCCCCGCAGTGGAGTCTGGGTGCGCCCCGGGGGAAGGGGCCGACCCCCACCCCACCCCACCCCCGCGGCCGGCGGTGCTCAGCCCAGCGCCAGGCGGGATGCGGGGGCTGGAGCAGACCCCGAGTGACAGGCAGGGCCCTGAGGGCGGGAGTCCCCGGGGAGCCCTCGCACCCAGGCCCGGCCCGGAGGAAACGGACCCCACTGTCTCCCTGGGCCTGCTGGCCCCTGCCCCATCCCAGCCTCGGCCCCGCCCCCCGCCCTCGCGCATGCGCACACGGGAGACCCAGGGCACGCTCCCCCCGCCCTCACCTGAGCCAGGCCGCCGACAGCCGCGTCTCTCCCGAAAGCCGCGAACCCGCCCCGCTCGCCGCCCTTGCCTGCGGGACGAAGAGGTCACCGGCCGCACACAGCAGGCGCCCGCTGAGCGCGTCGGGGCTTGGGGTCATCGCGCCTCCCCGCGGCACTGGGCTGGCAGCTGTCTGTGCCCGGGACAGCCCGGGTCCCCGTGGGTGACCACACAGCCCCAGCCCACGGAGCGCCGCCCTGCGGAAGCTGACAGCCCCTCTCGTCCCGGGTGAGGCAGGGGGCAGGGCCGGCCTGAGCCCACCCCCGCCATGGACTCCGCCCCTGGGCCACTGGTCCCCTCCTGGCTCCGCCTCCGTGCGTGAGGGAGGAGCCAGGATGCCCCGGGGCTGACCCGAGCTGTCCCAGGGCTCAGAGAGGACCCCCCACCTCCACAAGAACAATCTCCCCAGGCCAGGGGAGCACACGCGCCGGTCCCTGAGCCCCCCCCACGGTGACCACCCCGAGCCCGGCCTGCTACCCCGGGCCGGCAGGAAGCGCCAGGCGGAGGCGGGGAGGAAGGAGCGGCCGGAGGGGACCCGCGTCCTGCAGGGGCACGGCCAGCGGGCTCGTGGGGCGGTGCCAGGCCCAGCGCAGGTCCAGGGTCTCCCACTGGCACCACCACCGGGACCCAGGGTGCTGACCACAACACACCTACGTCCTCTTCCCCGGGGCAGGTGCCGCGACCTCCGCAAAACAGCCCCGCCCCGGTCACCCGGCCCCTCCGCGGGTCACTGGAGCCCCCGAGGCCCCGGGCGCCCGACCCCTGACCCTGCCATAGAACAGGGCCTCCGGCCAGGCGGCGGAATGGCACAGCCCCGGCCGCCCCCGACCAGCCCCAGAGCCCGCACAGGCCACTTCCTGCCAAGCCTCAGTGGGCGAGAGCCTGGTGCGGGGGGCGTGGCCAGCAGGGCCTGGCGGGAAGGTTCCGGAATAATCTCTGCCCTGCAGGTAGGGAAACTGAGCCTCCCGGTGCCGCCTGCACACCCACCTGTGAGCCCAGGCCCCAGGAATGTGGACGAAGAGAGGCTGCCGTGGGACTCGCTGAAGTGGGCGCCTTCGCTGTAGGTCTAGGGGAGACGGGCAGGGGTGAGGGGCTGGCGTCGGCCCGCCCCGCCCCGCCCCGCCCCGCCCCGCCCTGCTGTCCTCAGAGCCCCAGTCCAGGGAAGGGAGACGACGGGGGAGGGGGCACTCACCCGGCCGGGGTCGAAGGAGGAGGTGTTCTGGTCGCCAGCACCCCAGGAGCCCGAGCCGGGCCGGTCCTCCAGACCTGCAGCGCAGGAAGGCGGGGCCAGGGTCACCCTCAGCCACGCCCAGGCCCGGGGAGGGCTGGGAGCCCCTGGTGAGCAGTCGGGCAGCCGGCCGCTGGTGGACTCCTACCCGTCCATCAGAGCCCCGGGCTCCGTGCCCGCCTCGCTGAGCCTGCCCCCAGCTCCAGGTCCCTCTCAGACCAAGCGCGAGGGCCTCAGGGCACAGGTAGTGCACGACAGGACCCCCACAGCCACCAGCCTGAGCAGGTGCCGGGGTCCTGTCCGTCAGAAGCCAGCAGAGAACCCCACAGGCGGGCCCAGGCCTGCGGCATGGTGGGGGTTAATGAGGCGGGCAGGACTGGGTAGGGTGGAGGCAGGGCGGGGCCTTATCTCCTGGAACACTCTCCCCTGTGTCCTGGTCCCCCCTCCCTGCCCTGGTTCCCTCCTCCCCGTCTCAGTCCCCCCTCCCCGTCCTGGTCCCCTCTCCCCCTCCCCGCCCTGGTCCTCCCCTCCCTGTCCCAGCCCCCCCTCCCCGTCTCAGTCCTCCCCTCCCCCTCCGGGTCCCCCCCTCCCCGTCCTGGTCCCCCCTCCCCCTCCCGGTCCTGGTCCCCCTCCCCACCCAGGTCCGGCTAGGCCTGGCCAGAGAGAGTTTCCCCCTGGTGAGTGGGGTCCCAGGAGGACCCTGCCGCAGCCCAAGGCAGCAACGCCCACCCCCCAGAGCTGGGCCGCGGGCCTGGGGGCTCAGGTCCAGGAGGCCCCCCCCCCATGGCCGGAAGCCGCCAGCCTGCGCCCTCCCGTCCCTGCTTTGTGTTAATCATGCCCCCCAGGAACTGCTGTTTAATTGCTGCCTGATTTGCATAATTATGCATATTAATCTCACAGCCTAATGAATATTTGTGAACTCGTTTTTTTCTTTTTGAACCCAAAGCTTCCACTGTGACTACGGCGGGGGCTGGGGGCTGGGCAGAGGCTCCTGGCAGCACCATCACTGGGCGGGGGGCATCCGTACCCCGAGATCCTGGACCCTGGGGACAGGGCACAGCACCTCCGGGGCCTCCGTGTCCATGCCTGCCTGGGAGACCCCGAAAGGCAACGGGGAGCCCCCCAGATCACGGCCAGGGCCGCCCCTCCCCCACCCGCTGATACAGTTAAGACTCCCGGTTAATTGCGCAGCCGCGCGCGCCTCCCCGCTCTGATGAGGAGGGCGGGAGAGGGAGCCGTGGCCGCTGCTCTCCAGAACGCTGGGGGCTGCGGGAGGGGCGCCACACGGCCACGCGGCCCGGGGACGCGGCCAGAGTGGACGGGGCTGAGGGCGGCGCACGTCTCCAGCCTCGCCGACCCCGGTCCGCCTGCGGGCAGCTGTGCAGCAGGAGGAGGCGCGGCCCCCGCTGGCCCGTGTGGTACCGACCACGGCGGCCCGCGGCCACACTCCACGGCGGCCACTGCCTGTGCGCGCTGCAGCTGTGCCCGCAGGCGGCTGTGCCCCCGCGGCCAGGGCCGCTCTGCACGGGGAGGGGGCAGCCACGCCCCGCGGCCCCCCTGCATGGGGAGGGGGCAGCCACGCCCCGCGGCCCCTCTGCACGGGGAGGGGGCAGCCACGCCCCGCAGCCAGGGCCCGGACCTCCCTGCAGCCCCTCCCAGAGCTCCCCACGGCCCTCACCACACACAGACACGACCTCTGCCCACAACACGCAAGACGCAGCCCGTGCCGGCCCCGATGCCCCCTCTCAGGGCCAGCTCCGTCCCGGGTCAGCCTCGCCACCCCATCCCTCCCAGGACGTGCACCCACCGAGGAGACCCGGCGGGAGCTCCTGGCCCAGTTCTGGGCATTTGCACAGGAACCGGTGGTTCAAAGACCCTCTGGGGCCGGCGCTGTGGCGCAGCGGGTAAACCCCGGCCCGCAGAGCCGGCATCCCACATGGACACCGGTTCAAGTCCCGGCTGCTCCACTTCCCAGCCAGCTCCTGCTGTGGCCTGGGAGAGCAGTGGACGATGGCCCAAGTCCCTGGGCACCCGCACCCGCGTGGGAGACCCGGATGGAGCTCCTGGCTCCTGGTCAGCCCGGCTCCGCCCATGGCGGCCATCTGGGGCGTGGGCCAGCGGATGGAAGACCTCCCTCTCTCTCTGCCTCTCTCTAACTCTGCCTTTCAAACAAATTGATTTTTAAGAAAAAGACCTTTCTGTCGGCCTCTGTCTCGTTTCTCTGGAATAAACAATCGCGTGAAATCGGGGCTGAACGTGGACCGGGAAGCAGCAGGGCCGAGGGGAACCGACGCACGCCTGCTGGTGCCAGACAACAGCCCTGCGGAAACACCGGAGCCGGGGAGCGGCCAGGGACTTCAGAGGGGAGAGGGGAGGGCGGAGGGCGGAGGGCGGGCAGCTGCCAGGGCCCCGCCGCCGCCGAGAGAGGGGACGAACCCACCCTGCTGAGCGGGTGGAACGCGCCCTGGACGCCCTGCAGCAGGCGGGCCGGGGCCCAGCGAGGGGGACGGGGAAGCCCCAGGGCCCCGCACGCCGGCCGTCAATGCACACACAGGCCAGGGCTGCAGGTGGACGCGGGCCGGCAACAGCACGCACGCCAGCCTCGGAGACCCAGAGCCAGAGGGAGCCCGCAGTGCCCCGGCTCGCAGCCGCACCGGGGCGGGCGGCTCAGCTCCGCGCCGGGCACCGGGCCCTGCCGGCGGCGTGCGGGAACCGGGGAGGAGCCGAGGAACTAAAGGGGCAGAAATATTGATTCCCGATGAAGCAGGCTCCTCGGAAGGAAAATCGATCAATCAGACGAAGCGGGAGCCGGCCAAGGACAAAGAAACAGCGAGCCAGGCCGAGCAGGCGCCCCCGCCCAGGAGGGGCCCCACGGTGGCCGACACCGCCCGGCTCCAGCCCCGGCTGCTCCCCGCGCCTGCACCCACGTGGGGACCCCGTGGGCCGGAGACGGAGGTCTCTACACTGAGGGAGCCTAAGACACAGCGTTAGACCGGGAAGACCCCAGCAGGACTGCGGGCCAGCGGCCAGGGCGCGGCTCTCCGGTCCGCGCAGGGGACTGCACGAACCAGCGTCGGCTTCAACCCGGACCTGGTCTGCGCGCAGCGACGGGGCGCAAACCCTCCGCCCGCATGCGCACTGGCTGCCCACCCGGCTCCCCGCCCCCACATCCCGCAGCCACAAGTCGTGCGGGAAGCAGGCGGAGGCCGGCGCGGGCACCTCCCGGCCCTGTCGTGGCCTGGACCCTGCGGCTGCGGGCAGCTGACCGGTCCTCCCGCCCACTCGACGGCCTGGGCCCGGCCCGCAGGGCTGTCCACTCCGCGTCTCTGCGACCTGCTTTGGGACTTCCCATCCCGGTCATCGCCAAGGGGCGACGCGGCGGGCAGGGCCACCGGGACACGCGCGCGCAGGGCGAGACGGCGGCGGGCCGGCCCAGCCACTGCAGGCCCCTCAGCAGGTGGCAGGGTGAGGAGTCCGCGGAGTCACTGCCCGCCGAAGCCCCCCCCCCCCCCGGGAGCCTCCAGCCAGCCAGGGCCCAGCGCCCGCGTCCCTCCCCCGACGTGGGGGCCCGAGTGCGCGCTCCCGGCATGTGCCCGGCCCAGGATCTGCGGCAGGAGATGAGACCCAGCACGTGGGAGCTGCCGGCCCGCGAAGTAGGTTACACACACACAGGGACCTCAGCCGGTGCCCTGAGCTCAGGGCTGGGGGCTCCCGGTCCCACCGCCCCCAGGAGGCCATGCGCGGGGCCGGCCACGCAGCGCTGCTGGGGGCCAGGGGCGGGCAGGCAGACAACGCCTCCCTCCCCTCCGCCCTGCAGGACCCTGGTGCAACCTCAGGTCCAGGGAGGGGTGTCGGTGCCACCTCCTCCAGGAAGCCCCCAGGAAGACGGCACCTCCGGTTCCCGGGGGCCGTGGGGATTTCCACCCTTAGGAGCGGCCCAGTCAGCCCTGCGGCCACTTCCCCAGGCGCAGGGGAAGGCCAGCGCAGAGCAGCAGGGCGGCCACGTGACAGCTTCGTCTCTCTCTGGGGGTGGGGGCGCAGCGTCCGCGCCACCCTCACCCACCCTGGCGCTCCCAGGTCCCACGGGACCCAGACACAGCCCCGAAGCCCCGAGGAGGCACTGGACCTGCTCACAGCTCCCTCGGCCCCAGCGCCCGGCCCCACGCCCAGCCCCTCGACTCCCAGTACCCGGCCCCCGCGCCCAGATCCCTGGCCCCCGCACCCAGCCCCTCGGCGCCCAGCCCCCGGCCTCTGCACCCAGATCCCCAGCCCCTAGCACCCGGCCCCCAGCACCAGCCCCCGCACCCAGATCCCCGGCCCCCAGCACCCAGCCTCCCCACCCAGATCCCCGTCCCCTGCGCCCGGATCCCCAGCCCCCACGCCTAGCCCCTCGGCCCCCAGCACCCAGCCCCCAGCACCCGGCCCCTGCACCCAGATCCCCGGCCCCCAGCACCCGGCCCCCAGCACCAGCCCCCGCACCCAGATCCCCGGCCCCCAGCACCCAGCCTCCCCACCCAGATCCCCGTCCCCTGCACCCGGATCCCCAGCCCCCACGCCTAGCCCCTCGGCCCCCAGCACCCAGCCCCCAGCACCCGGCCCCTGCACCCAGATCCCCGGCCCCCAGCACCCGGCCCCACGCCCAACCCCTTGGCTCCCAGTACCCGGCCCCCGCGCCCAGATCCCCAGCCCCCCCCACACCCAGTTCCTCGGCCCCAGCATTCAGCCTCCCCACCCAGATCCCCAGCCCCCACGCCTAGCCCCTCGGCCCCCAGCACCCAGCCCCCAGCCTCCGCACCCAGCCCCTCAGTGCCCAGCACCCGTCCCCTGCACCCAGATCCCCGGCCCCCCCCACACCCAGTTCCTCGGCCCCCAGCATCCAGCCTCCCCACCCAGATCCCCAGCCCCCACGCCTAGCCCCTAGCACCAGCCCCCGCACCCAGATCCCCAGCCCCCACGCCTAGCCCCTCGGCCCCCAGCACCCAGCCCCCAGCCTCCGCACCCAGCCCCTCGGTGCCCAGCACCCGGCCTCTGCACCCAG